CCTAGGATATTCAAAAAATTTTATTCAATTTTCTAAAAGGTGTCAAGAGTTCTAGAAATATGGTCCGTTGAATCATCTGCCAACGGTCGAACTTCAAGAAATGATCAAATCATGGCCGTTTAAAGCGTGGGCGATCGACATTATTGGTAAAATTTATCCTACTTCAAAACATCATTGTTTTTTTCTAGTAGCAACCGAATATTTCACTAAGTGGGTAGAAGCAATTCCATTGAAAATTTAACGCAAAAGGAGATAATCGAGTTTGTTTTGAATCAAATCATATATTGATTCGGGATCCCACATACTTTTATCACTGACCAGGGTGTGGTCTTCACTATAGAGAATTTTATTGGGTTCTTTGCTGATTTCAGTATTCGGTTACATCATTCTTCATCATATTATCCATAGGCTAATGAGCAAGTAGAGGCAACAAACAAAATTGTCATTGGTATTATCAAGAAGATGATAGATGGAAACCCGAGAAAATGGCATATGTTATTGGCACAGGCCCTCTAGGCACATCAGAATAGTAGAAGTTCGGCTACGGGGTTTTCACCATGTCAACTTACGCTCAGACAAGACACAATATTACCCACCGAGCTTTGTGTCCCATCGACTCAAGCAGCAACAACGACATTAGACATCGGTGAAGAGTATTAACAGGGGGTATGATGCAACAATTGGAGGACATGGACACTATCCGATTGAAGGCCGTCGATCGGATGATTATGGTAAGAAGGTGTGTCATCGGACGTTTAAGGAATGAGATCAGGTATGAAAGACGATACTACCAACTTATAAGAAAGTCGACCAGTTAGGAAAATGGTCTCTTAATTGGAAGGTTCATTCGTAGTTTACAAGGAAATTGGAAATGAGGCGTATATTATCATGGATCAAGAAGGCAAATTGGTACATGATAGCATTAATGCTAAATATCTAAAAAGATATTATCCTACCTTTTTAGGTAATGAAAGCTAACAATTTATTCAAGATTATTTCGGAATTTGTGGGGATTCTAACCCATGAGGGGTTTATTCGTCATTTGAAAGAATGATGCAAGGATGTTTTCTCTTTCTACTTAGAATCTTCATTCAACTGGTAGAAATCAGTTCTGGCTCCTCATCCAAAAGGTCCTTAAGATCATGTCGGTACCGTTCTCATTGCTCTTGCATCTCTTCCAAGTCTTGTTATGTTTGAACTTTCATATCTTGCAAATATTGGTGTTCCTATTTAACAAGAATATGCAGTCAGGCAAAGGATGACCTTTGCTATATTTTAACCGTCATCTGCATTGAAAAATATGCCTATTTAGACTTAATTTCCTCTATTTAATGTAAATATATTATATGTTTAGCTTGTTTTTTAATTGGAGTTTAATTTCGTAGCTTATAGAATATTTAGTTAATTATGCATATTTCTGACTGTCGATGCCTTTTATGTTAAAACCTTTACCATGTCTCGATTGATAGATAGAAAATTTATGAAGTTATTGACATATGTTTCAGGTTAAAAAAAATAATATTAGACATGGTAATAGGCATAATTGGAGCATAGGAGTCAAAGAGGAGTAAGCAATGTGCAGACAGAAAAAATCTATAATAATAATAATAATAAGGGACTTGGCGATTCTTTAGAGAAACATTGTGCGAAGAAAAAAAGAAGAAGCGGATCGATTGGCGGGAGGAGAAGACAAAAAAAAAAAAAAAAAACTCAAGTTCAATTTCAGAGAATTTCGTTCTTTTATTGCCCTAGATAAGGAAATTCCATTCGAAGATTGCTACATTAGTTTTAGTTTAGGAATTTAAGTTTGGCGACTGGATTGAATATATATATATATATTTCATCCTGGAATCAAAGTCGGGAGTTGGATCAGATCTTGAAGCATAAAATTATTATTCACATCCAGGAAGTAGCGATGTTATTTTCGTCGCTGGTTTTAATTTCTGAAAGTTTAATAATTATCTTGTTCTTGAATTAAAATTTAAATTGCTACATATCTTCGATTGATATGTTGATTTTTGGGAAACATAACTTATTTAAGAATATAAGTACCAAATATAGGAAAGTATCGGATTTTATAGGCAATTTCAATAATGGAAATCTGTCCGGAGATTATTTCCATCCATTATTCTAAATGGTGTTTCTCATAATCTTGGGAAAGATAAAGAACACAATTAAGAAATATATTCATGAATGAGAAAGTATTGAACTAATGTGATTAATATGAATTTTGATTTACCAATCCTAGTTGCCGAAATTCTTTTATGTTCCTAATCTGTATTAAATTCATGCATATGTTTAATCTTAGTTTGGATATAATGATGAATTGGTTGGACAAGATTCATAATTTTTAATGGTTTTTCTCAAGTTAAATGAACTCCTAATTATCGTTTAACTAGTACCATTTATGAGAATGTTGCGAATTTATACTGTTTGACTTAATTTGCTTTCATGCGGGAGATGTAAATGCGTAAAATATATTGAATTTTAGTTTCATAATGACATTAAAATTTGTTGAAGAAATTTGAACAATTAAATAATTAAATTTTAGATTTAATTCTATTTGAGCAGGTTATGCGATCTTAATTTTTTTTAAAAAATTTTTTATTTACTTGTATTAAATTTCAAAATTTTCAACTTGACATTTATCCATGTTAACTCAATTGAATTAATTTTTAAATGACATAAAATTTTCAAAATTTAAATGAATACATTTAATTTCCTATAGATTTGACTCGGTATACTTACCGATTTACTACTTGATGCGATATCATACACTTGAGATAAATTAATAAAATATTTAAGTATCAATATCAAGAAGTAGTTTATATCCGCTCAAGATACATTCCATTAAAAGAATCATGAGGTCCATGGTTCTTCGTGCCCATTGAGAAAATTTAAATTTGAAATTTAGTTGCTTGAGTATTTGCATTAGGTATTCGGCATGACAACCAATAGGGTGTTGTCCAATCAGGAAAGGTTGCAGTGAATTTTCCTAGTTTTTGGTTAGGATCCGAATGCGTGGGGAGGACTTGAGACAAGGAGAGTTTGGATTAATGGAGGTTTAAGTTGCTCGTCGCGAGGTACAATTAATTTATAGTTGAAAATCTTAAGCTCATATTTAATGTGTGATGATTAAAGCCCGCAAGTAGTTGGTTGATTGATCCATAAAGATAGACTAAGTTCAAGAGGCTACATGAATTAATAAAAAAGGAATATGTATTACGAATGGGAGTGTGTTACATAAGAGCATTAAGAGCAGCCCGAATGTCAACCTATTTTTGTTCGGAACGGACGCTTGGCGGTTATGGAATGTAATTTGATGTTTGTGCATGAGACGCGAATGGATTGATACTTGCAATTCCTGAGACAAGTGTGTTAGGAAAATATACATTTCCCTATATAAATATGGGCAAATAATAATGTACAATTATATTAATTATTCTAATTAATTTGATTGACTTAAATTACGTAATCTAATTATAGAAATAATCAATCATTTATTCGATTGACTTAGCTTACGATATTTGATTATGGAAACAATCAATTATTTATTTGATTGACTTAAATTACGTGATCTAATTATGGAACAAGTCAATTACTACCTTATTGATATAGGATAAATTGAGCAGATACCAAATAGCGTATCAATAAGGTGATTATGGGTGGCCTATTAATCACTATATAAAGGACATTCGGTTATGGTCCCCAACATACTAAATCAATCATTGTTCTCTATTCTCCCCATCGAAATAGATTACAAAGGACCCGTTAGGTGATATAGTTGAGGAAGACCGTAATACCAATTGTTCGAGTTCACAGTTCCGCATCTAAGAATTAGATGGATCCAGGTATATTATATCGGTTTTTTTTTTCATATAAATCGCTATAGGACATATGAATTGGAGATATGCCGAGTGCATTATCAATGAAACTTTTCCTTTAAGTGGTATAAGAGCCAGGTTATATGCGATTATATAAATTTATAGTTTTATATATATATATTTGAAAATTAATTTTGTCGCACATTATTGTTGGATGATTTGATCCTTGTGCGCGTAAAAGAAGATGAATTTTATTGTGGAATATTTATCTTCAATTGATGGATTTTTTCTTATATATATATGTATATATATACTTTAAAGATAAAGGGATTTTTTGAAAATCTATATTAATGATTTACTTAAGTTTATTATTATCTCGTGATATATTATATATATATATAATAAAAGATATATATAATATAAGTTATGGATATATTTAAATATATGATTTGGGGAATTAAGGCATTGATCCCATCGGTTTAATATTATTTTAAATTGGGTGAGACACTTTAGTGTCATAATTTTTTTTTTTATTTTATTGGTCTAGTAATTTATCAATTTTGTCAATCGAACCATCAAGTTGCCTCCACAACCTCTGTGTGTGAAGATTGACTTTGTTGATATTATAAAAATGTAGTGTGAAATTATTTATGCGTTCTATGATAAGCCCTTCGGTAGACGCAGTTTGGCCGAATAATGACGCATATGTGATGATAAGTATGTGGTAATTATTTATATTATTCATGTGAACATTTGTCAGTCCTTCGATAGAATTATGTTTGATAGAACTTATTACCAATACTTGATTGTTGCACCAAAATTACCTTTGTAGTTAATTTTTTGTCCTTCAACGAGATTAATGTTGCACCAGGTGTCTTGGAATGAGTCCCCAGTTTATTTTACCCATATTTTGTTCATGCATGATTTATTTTTGAATGTTTAGTGAGTAATTGTATTGTTTACTTTAAAGTGACCATTGCTAATTCTCCCAATATTTCTGCTCAAGTTAACAATATCCCAATACTTAATGGGACAAACTTTAAGATCTTGAAGGAAATTGTGGAAATTGTTCTCGGTTGTATGGATTTGGATCTTGCCTTTCGATCCGACCGACCCATTACTATTGAGGCTGAGCCTAATGAGGCTAAAATTGAGAAATGGGACTGGTCGAACTGAATGTGCATGATGATCATGAAGCGCTCCATTCAGGAGGCGTTTCGGGGCTCTGTTGCTGAGAGCGAAATGGCTAAGTTGTTCCTTGAAGCTGTTGAGCAATATTTTGCCAAAAATGAAAAGGCGGAGGCGAGTAGTCTTTTGGCTACACTCCTCTCCATGCGGTATAAAGGCAAATGGAACATAAGAGAGTACATTATGGAAATGTCTAACATTGCATCAAAACTGAAGGCACTAAAGTTAAAGCTGTCGGAAGACTTGCTCGTGCACTTGGTTTTGATCTCACTTCCTACACAATTTGGACAATTTAAGATGACTTATAATACTCAGATGGAAAAATGGTCCCTTAATGAACTTATATCTCACTGTGTGCAAGAGGAAGAGAGAGTGCAGAGAGACAAATCTGAAAGTGCTCATCTAGCCCTTTATGCTCAAGGCAAGAAGAGGAAATGACCTAAGGTACTGCGGTTGATGCTTCGAAGAAACAAAAGAAGAAACAAGTGGAATCAAAATGTTTCTTTTGCAAGAAGCCAGGGCACATGAAGAAAGATTGCTTTAAGTACGCAGCATGGCGTATTAAGAAGGGTATGCAGTTAACTTTGGTTTGTTCTGAGGTTCATTTATCATTTGTACCTAAGGATATTTGGTGGGTAGATTCAGGAGTCACTACTCACATAAGTATGTCTTTGTAGGGTTGCCTGTGGAGCTGATTACCAAGTGATGATGAAAGATTCATCTTTGTGGGTGATCGAAATAAACTTGCAATTGAGGCTATTGGAACATTTCGATTGCAGTTAAAGAGAGGTTCTTATTTAGATTTATTTGAGATTTTTGTAGTGCCGTCATTTAGACGGAATTTGATTTCAATTTCTACTTTGGATAAACTAGGATTTCCTTGGTCTTTTAGAAATAATAAAGTTAGTCTCTTTCAAAATTCTAAATTTATTGGTGATGGCTCTTTAATTGATAATCTGTATATGCTTGATCTTGTAATTTTCAAAAATTTTGTATTGCAAACTTCATCAAGAGGTACAAAGAGAAATGTTTTGAGGATTCTACCATTCTGTGGCACAAACGCTTGGGTCATATTTCAAAGTAGAGAATGCTAAGGTTTATGTTTGATGGAATCCTTAATCCCTTAGATGATGCAGACTTTCCAGTATGTGTTTAGTCCATCAAAGGGAAGCAAACAAACATAATGAAATTAGGAGCTGAGAGAGCTAAATAATTCTTAGAACTTATTCACACTGATCTCTGTGGTCCATTTCCTACGGCATCTTGGAATGGCCAACGATGTTTTATTACGTTCATAGATGATTACTCTCGTTTTAGATACCTATATTTGATTCATGAAAAATCTGAATCATTGGATGTTTTCAAATCTTTTAAAGTTGAAGTGGAAATTCAACTTGAAAAGAAAATTAAGGCCATTGGATCGGATCGTGGAGGTGAATATTACGGCCGATTTGATGGATCAGGAGAACAACGTCCTAGACCCTTCGCAATTTTCCTCAAAGAATGTGGTATTGTTCCGCAATACACAATGTCGGGGTCCCCTAGCATGAATGGTGTTGCTGAATGGAGGAACCAAACTCTTAAGGATATGGTAAGGAGTATGATTAGTCATTCTTCCTTGCTAGAGTCACTTTGGGGAGAAGCTTTGAAAACCGCAGTTCATATTCTTAACCGAGTACCGAGTAAAACAATTTCTAAAACCCCTAATGAACTTTGGATAGGCAAGAAACCTAACCTTAGAAATTTTTGAATTTTGGGTTGTCCGGCAGAAGCACGACCTTATAGGGCGCATGAAGTAAAGCTGGACTCAAGAATGGTTAGATGTTATTTTATCGGTTACCCGGAACACTTACGGGGTAACAAATTTTATAATCCTGCATCAAAAACATTTTTTGAGACAAGAAATGCTAAATTTCTTGAGGATATTGAGTTTGGGAGAGAAGAAGTTATTAGGAACATTGCATTTGAGGAAGACTCTGTGGTTGACAATGATTTGGTTTCATTGCCTATCATTGTTCAGGATTCAACCTCAGTGTTACAAAACAATGTTGAGATTCTGATAAAAAATATTGTTCCAAATCAGGGCAACACTGAGGTTATTCTTCCCCCTACAACTGAAGTACAAACTCTCTATCTCAAGAAATGCCACTAAGAAGATCCACTAGAGAAAAGAGAAGTGCTATTTCAGATGATTATATAGTATTTCTCCAGGAGCATGAGGATGGCATCGGTTTAACCGAGAATGATCTTACCAAAATTGTACAAGCCGTGCGTAGCTCTAATTCTCAAGGATAGATTGATGCCATGAAAGATGATATGAAATCTATGAGTGACAATGACGTTTGGGATCTTGTCGATTTGCCAGAAGGTGTGAAACCCATTGGTTGTAAATGGATATTCAAAACCAAAAGGGATTCCAAAGGCAATATTGAAAGATATAAGGCTCTTTTAGTTGCTAAAGGCTTCACTCAGATGGAAGACATTGACTACAAAGAGATTTTCTCTCCTATTTCTTCGAAAGACTCTTTTAGAACTATTATGGCACTGGTAGCTCATTTTGATTTAGAGTTACATCAAAATGGATGTAAAGACTGCTTTTCTTAATGGAGATATTGAGGAAACAATTTATATGGAGCAGCCTGAAAACTTTGTATCTAGAGATACAAAGTCTACGGTATGCAAATTAAAGAAATCCATATATGGTCTAAAGCAGGCATCCCATCAATAGTACCACAAATTCCATCAAGTTATCACCTCATTTGGTTTTGAGGTAAATATCGTTGATAATTGTGTGTACTGCAAGTTCAGTGGGAGTAAATATATATTTCTGGTTTTATACATTCTTCTCGCTAGCAATGATATAAATTTGTTGCATGAAACTAAGAGATTTCTTACAAAGAAATTTGAAATGAAAGATCTTGGTGATGCTTCTTCTGTATTAGGAATTCACATACTAAGAGATTGTTCTCGAGGTATTCTTGGATTATCACAAAAGAATTACATCGATATGATTTTGGGAAGATTCGGCATGAAAGGCAGCAAACCACTCGATACCCCTGTTGCTAAAGGAGAAAAATTTAGTCTCAAATAGTGTCCCAACAATGATCATGAGAAAAATGAGATGCATAGGATTCCTTATGCATCGGCCATAGGAAGTCTTATGTATGGTCAAGTATGTACTCGTCCCGATATAGCATTTATAGTGGGAGTTTTAGGCAGATATTTGAGCAATCTGGGAGAACAACACTGGAAAACAGCCAAATGTGTAATGCGTTATTTGAAGAGAACTATGGATTCTATGTTCACTCATCGGAGATCAGAAAGCTTGGAGATCGTGGGATACTCTTACTCCGAATTTGCTGGATGTCAAGATAGTAAACGCTCCACATTAGGATATGTGTTTATGCTAGCAGGAGGGGCAATTTCTTGGAAGTCTGTTAAACAGACTATTGTAGTTTCCTCTACTATGGCTGCAGAATTTCTCGTTATGAGACCTCCAATCACGCAATATGGCTACAAAACTTTGTCACTGGGTTACGTGTGATTGATGGCATCAAGAGGCCATTATAAATAATTTTTTACAATAACTCAGTCGTGCGTTACTCCAATAACAACTCAAGTGCAACTAAGTCAAATTTTATTGATATTAAGTTTCTTGTTGTTAAAGAGAAAGTTCAGAATAAACAAATTGCTATTGAATACATAGGAATGAATAATATGCTAGCTGATCCACTAACTAAGGCATGACATCTAAGGTGTTCCATGAACATACTGCTCACATTGGTGTTGCTTCTGATGTTGCCCTAGGTTAGTGAAAGTCTATGTTCTATGTGGAAAACTTTCAATTTGTGATATCCAATTTTCTCAAGAATAAATTTGATGGATTTATTTTATTTTGAATTCAATTTAAGTTATTATGTATTGATCCCACTAAATTTGGACCAATTGGAAATAGACATGATATTGATCACATTGCATGAAATTTCCATGCTGCTCACCATATTTTATCCATATCACTGAGTGTATTAATATGGTGATTGTCGGGCTTTAACCACGATTTATAATGTGGTGACTGCCTCGGTGATTCCATTGTTAGTGCATGTGGTGGATAGGATTGTTAAAGGTAGTCGAAAAAAATACAATTGTGCCACTACGGATTTGATAATATAATTGCTCAAAAAATAATATTTGCCCAAGTGGGAGATTGTTAGGAAAATATACATTTCCCTATCTAAATATGGCCAAATAATAATGTACAATTATAATAATTATTTTAATTTATTTGATTGACTTAAATTACATAATCTAATTATAGAAATAATCAATCATTTATTTGATTGACTTAGATTACGATATTTGATTATGGAAACAATGATTGACTTAAATTACATGATCTAATTATAGAACAAGTCTACTACCTTATTGATATGAGATAAATTGAGCAGATACCAAATAGCGTATCAATTAGGTGATTATGAGTGACCTATTGATCACTATATAAAGGACATTCGGTTATGATCCCCAACATACTAAATCAATCATTGTTCTTTATTCTTCCCATCGGAATAGATTATGAAGGACCCATTAGGCGATATAGTTGAGGAAGACCGTAATACTAATTGTTTGAGTTCACAGTTCCGCATCTAAGAACTAGATAGATCCAGGTACATTATATCGTTTCTTTATGGATTGGAGATATGGCGAGTGCATTATCAATGAAACTTTTCCTTCAAAGTGGGTTCGGCTTTGTTGATATATTTCTATCAAACGTCTTTCTTCTTTGATGCAGCCATTCAGGGCGGCTTGTTCTGTCTCAAGATTCTCCAGTTCCCTTTGAAGACGCTTCAATTCTCTCCGCTTTGTGGTGATGTCTTCATTCAGGTTGGTTTGAGTTTGGAGCAGACCATCAAGCCTAGCGCGTGCTTGTGTGAGGTCTTCGTTGATTTTGGAGATTGAGGCCTCAATAGTGGTTGGATCAGATGCAGACGGAGGTTGAGATGGCCTCACCGATGGGGTCCGAATCAAAGGAAGGTCGGCTAGTAGCTCAGTGATTCATTCCATGAGATGATAAAGAACCGAAGCGAAACCTAAACCAGATGAGTGGTGAACTAACAATCAATCACGACTTGAGCTAAATCTTGAAGTGATTCATTGCTCAAGTCAGAGAAAGGCAGTGAAGCGCAGTCGGTCACCACTGGTCGGGCATCATTAGGGAGGAGAATCTTGGATAGAGGCGTAAGATCAACTTGGCCTTATCAAAGAAGAATAAAATAAATAATTATTTTTTATTTTTATAAATATATAATAATTTTAAATTATAATTATATTATTATTATTATTATTATTATTATTATTATTATTATTATTATATTTTTATTTTAGGTTGTCCCTGATTAGAAGGTTCTTGGCCATCAAGGGCTCCGATCACCTACAATCGG